CACCATTTGTAAGTTGCAGAAATAAGGGCCCACTTGTCTGCCTACTGCAGCATTTCTCATTGTGTTCCCCAGTCAAGGGAAGGTTAGGGGCTCACCCAGGAAGGTGTTAGGTCTTTGTTGTTGTTTTTTCAAGTAAAATTTGTTAGCAGAGTTATTAGTGTCAATGCTTGGGGCTCTGGCATTCCCAGCAAGTCAGACTCTTGACCACTTATCCTCTGTAAGCCAATTCAAAAAAACAAATAGCGAAAAGCAGAAAACAGAGATTTACTCCGTCACCACATTAGAGATCCAGTGATCCACAACCGCCAAGTCCATCTTGGGGTCCTGACAGAGGTATGCTTGACTAAGTAGTTGCCATTCAGGTGTGATCCTGCCTGTCACCGACCCATGACTGTCTCCATTCCAGTCTCTCCTGAAAGGTGGTCTGACAAGTTTTCAGAACTGAGTGAGATTTCACGGTCCTACTCTGGCTAGCACCAGGCTTCAGCCTTCTTTTTACAGTATGAGGCTCCCAGGAAAATTCTGATTTCTTGGAGGCCATAGTCTGATTGCCAAGAGGAGAGACACAAGCCCAAGTGTCCTTATTCCTACCAGGCCAGTGACAGGCATGCTCTGAGAGTTTAAGGGAAGAAAGTATCCCCTAAGACACCCCCAGCTTTACAAGTACAGGGAGGCAGGAGGACTGGAGAGATGGCTCAGTGGTTAAGAACACTGACACTCTTCCAGAGAACCCGGGTTCAGCACCTCCACATGGCAGCTCCCAAGCCTCTGTAACCCCAGTTCCAGGGGGTCTATACCCTCCTCTTCTAGCACCAGGCACACACAGACATACATGCAGGCAAAACACCCAGACTCATAAGTTTTTTTAATCATAATAAAAAAGCACAGAGCAGGAGATGAATAAGAAGGGTCCTGTTTGACAGGCCGTCTAAAATTCATTGGGTGGGAGGAGGCTGACCTCTCATCCAGATGTGGAAAATGAGTCGTGACTCAAGAGATTACAAAAGGGTTCACCCCTCTTCCTAAAGCCAGAAAGTCACCCATTAAGCCCAGGCCCAGGAACACCAACGTTCCCCAGGGAAATACATCTCAATACAATTCCGCACACAGCACACATCTGAATACTCACTGAAGCTCTGAGCCTAAGAAGAGCTCAGGCTCCCAACGTGGAAAGGCCTCCTCTCTCTTCCAAGCCCCTTAGGGAGGAGGAAGGAGGCTGGAAAGTCCAGTCTAGCTGCATGGGCGGTCACTGAGATGACTGGGCCACCAGGCCTGTCTTCTTCTCTACTGTCAGCAACTGCCAAGAGACATCTCGCTTGGCTTCTGCTTTTTGTTTTTTAATTACCCTGGTTGACTTCATCAGGAGTGCCATTAAAAGAAAATGATTACCAGGTGATTCATCTGCCGGGGTAAGAGTTGATAGGTCAGTTGTTTTAGAAACCAAATTCTCTTAGCAGAGAATTGCTTTCCCTGTTTTTTGTTTGTTTTTTCAGCAGCCCCTGAAAGCACACTTTATTTTGAATTATCAGGGGCTGACAGCACTTGTTAAAAGAGCCAAGGTAAAGATCCCACCTCTGCAGTAAACTTTAACACAGTCTAAGAATGGGAAGTCTCTAACAGAGGCCAGAGGTCAGAGGCAAGGGAACGTAGTCAGTCATAAATTCCAACTGCTAGGGTTCTAACTTGAGTGGAATATATATATTCTCCAATAAAAGCGAGAGTGTGGGTGCTTTTATTTCCTACCACTACTTTTTTTTTTTTTTTTTTTTTTTTTTGTCCAACAAAGGTGAAAATCTAGTAAATAGAATATGCTCTCTCTACCTTTTCTTTGCAGACCAGCTAAGAATCAGTAATGATGGCCCACACAATTCATTATGGTCCTGGAGCTGCTTTCTGCTTCTGGGGAGTGAGCTAATCACCTCATCTCAGCAGCGTAGGCATCAGATAAGGGCTCTGGAGCAGGTTCCAGCCTTCTCAGCTGTGTGACCCTGAGCAAACTAAACTCCGTATGCCCTGTTTCTTCATCTGCAACCACAGTGTCCATCCTATAAGGTGCCTGCAGAACCTAAAAACCCATCGTTGCCGCATAGTGGCTGCTCAATAAATATTATTTTATAGACTTCAGGGCACCAATCTAGACGTTCAATATACTACAGAGCTTAAAAAAAAAAAATCCACGGTGATTCCTGAATCCCTAGGCAAATGCCTTATTCATTCTGTTGCTGTTCCTACGCTAGCCTCACATGACAACACTCCCATTACACACACCCAGACCCAGTCCATCTGTAATCCAGCCCCTCTGTGCATTCCCTTCGCACAGTCTTTCTACCCCCGTACCCACTCTGGATTTTTTAAAACCGTTCCTTTTGCATTACTAGCAATTGAACTTAAGACCTTGTATAAGCCAGACAAGCACCACAGCACCAAGCTACCTCCCTAGCCTTTCTTTTCAATTGAGGACAGTATTGCTAAGTTATTCATGCAGGCCTTGACATCACTCTGTAACTCGATTAGGTCTGGAATGCCACATCCTCCTCAGCCTCCCCAAAAGCTGAGATTATGGTCTTGGAACCACTGTGCCCAAGTACTATCTAAACTTCTGAAGTTCTTTCCCCCGAGTGGTTCAGTGGCCTTGCTTCCTTCCTACACTGTAAACTGAGTAAGGACCATTTTCAGGGCCTGACCAGTAGTTGGCACACACAAATGCTAAGGAATATTTTCTGAGTGACTGACATTTATACCTAATAAGCTTCTCTACAGCTTTAGATAACACAGTCACCCATGAAGTCTTTCTAGGTTCTTTATAAAATTTTTGTTTTTCTTTTGAGCGACATGTTTCTATTCACTGTATTTTAACTGCAGCTAACATTTACAAGGTGCTTTTGATAGATGAGGGTCTACAAGAATAGAGCACGTGAAACTCCCTTAAACCTCACTTAAATCGATTAAATTCAAATTGGGGCCAGGAAGATGGCTCAGCACGGTAGTGGTGCCCACCATCAAGCCTGACAACTTGAGAAAACTGACTCCCACAAAACTGTCCTCTGACATCCACATGTGCACACAGTCACGTCCAAAATAAACCAGGCAATTAAAAGAATTTGCTCCATGTCACGGAGGGCACTATTTTCACCACGTCGGGACGAATCTCTGTTTCTTCTACAAAGAATATCCTGCTAACTTTACCAATTCCAATGTCATCGGTTCACGCATAAAGCTTTTTTGCCCAAGCAGTTATGAGCAGGCTGTGTCCATTATATTAAGATATGGTTCACTCCAGGCTCTCAGGCTTCTGAAGGGTGTGTCTGGAAACAAGCTTTATTGAGACTACGAGAACCCTTGCAGATTCTCTTATTACTAGAGGAGGAAGTCTGGCTTAGATGCCCTGTGCCCCCCCACACACAAGGTTTATTTTTATTTTATGGGCATGTGTGTCTTTGTGCACGTGTATTGGAGCCAGATGGCGTAGGATCACCCAAACTGGGATTACAGGCAGTTGCAGGTGCTGGAAATCAAAGTCTGGTCCCCTAAGAGCAGCAAGTTGCGGTAGCTCTTCAGCCCCCGCAGGCGCTCTTTATTTAAGCTACATCTCTGAAACTTCCCACATGTCGGGGTGCACAGAGAGTACCGAGGAGGAATCCAGCACCAGCCCTGCCAAGCTGAGGATTGGTAACAGGTGCGCTGCGCTCATCCATTCCCTTCCTCCTCAAGCCCCAGTAAGCTTCAAAGCCTAAGGCTTGGATCAGGACTAGGCTTTGAGGACAGAAAGGTCTTCTACTGTCCTCCTGGGCATTAAAACACCCAACCCACGTTTCTAGTATTCTTCGGTGATTTTTAATTCTCCATCCCGTCAGAGATGTCCAAGAGGTCGGGGTTCTTTCTCTACGTCGCAGGCGCTCCATTCCAAGATGCTTTCGCCCGTGGACTTTCCTCCTACCCGGCGGGGCAGGACCACTGAGGCGCCCACTCACTCTCCTAACCCAACCGCCGGGCCCCGCCCGAGACCTTCGCGCCGCTCCCGCCAGACTCGGGGTCCCGCCCCCGCGTGGCAGGCAGGCTACCGGCCCAGCCGCCGGGGTCGCACGCTTCTCCCGCGCACCAATGACTCAACCAGAAGAGAAACGTGGGGGTTCCACGCCCCGCCCCCGGCGCCCTAGCGCCCCGCCCCCGCCCCG